GGAGTCCAGCCCGGGGTCGTCACATGTGGTTGCTGCAAGCCCGCCGGATGCTCCTTCGTCGAATCCGCCGCCTCTGCTCACTCAGCCCGCCGGCTATTCCTCACTTTATCCCCCGGCCTCTGCTCACGTGGTTGACGCTGTGTTTTGTTGTGAAAGCAAAACTACTTTGTGTGGTCTTCCAAAAATGGACACGACTAGAAATCAGTGGTTAAGTTGCATTTACAACACTGTTCCAGAACCCAAATATTCAGATGTGTGCAGCACATTTTATGGAGGACCGTTTCCTGATCCTGGGAGAGTAGACTACAATGCCGGCTGTTCTGACTCAAAGACTGTAAGTACGTTTTTTATATTTAAAGCGTTTTTATATTTTATATATTTAAAACATCAGAACCTTCAGAGGTACATTCATATAATTAATTCATTCACATATTCATTTGTATAATTCCCTAAGCACTCTTTTAAAACCTCCCAGCTTTTCCGCCCTGTTTTCACTCAAAATAAAACTACTCTGCGTGCTGTGCGCACGTGAGACTGTTACAGGAAACTGTGCTTTATGCTGGGATAAACAGTTTATTGATCGCGAGTTGTTCAAATCGCGGTAATCTAATATGGTTTTAATGATAATTAAAAGATGAAACGGTAACACTAACCGTGGGGAATTTGATCATGATTTATCGTCAAACCGGTAATCGTTACATCCCTATCATACAATCAACAGATGTCAGGATAACACACTTAAAGCTTATCAAACATGATAAATGAAAGTTCAAACATGCTTGCTTGATACACAAGAACAAATTAGGTTTGTTCTGACGCGTCTCGTGTGTTCTCATATCTCATATGTTTTGTTCTTGCGCTTCAAGCAAGTATATGGTTGAGCTTCCGTTGACCATATTTGAGGTGCTTTATGTATGTGCGTTGATGTTATATGTGATTTAAAGCCTAAATTCAGTTTTTGGGTGAACTATCCGTTTAAAGTAAAACAAATGAATGAAAGATTATAGCTATGGAAATAAAACAATTTCATTCAGTCACCTTGTTTTTATTAACAAATATCATATATCTCTATATCACATGCACACAGAACCTTCATAGATTTGATCTGCAATGCTGAGTGATAGACCTGCAGTCTTCATTTAGGCTGATCGGATAAATGATGAGAACGATGATTTAGGCGTACCTGTAAAAGACAGAGATAGATCACCCTTTAATATTCAGTGCAGCTTTTCAACTTGTTAAATGCTGAAATCCACCATAAAATAACCAAAATTACTTCTTGTAATTTATGTGTCCTTACTGAATACATCTTGGTAAGTGAACCATCTGTTACTTATTCTTTAGAATAATATCATTATTAAAGATATAGATTTTAAAAAGTGGCAAGAAGTTAACTGATGGACTGGAGTTATTGTTGGATTATTGTGATGTTTTTATCAGCTGTTTGGACTCTTGGTTGACACGCCTGTTCAGCATCGCATGGGAATCAGTGCCTGGTGATTAGCAGACAGGTGTGGTGGGTTCAGTTTTTAAAGAAGGGGACTGCAGGGTGTGTTCCAATTATAGAGGGATCACACTCTTCAGCCTGCTAGGGAAAGCCTATGTCATAGTGCTGGAAAGGAGAATGCAACCGGTTGTCTCAGACAAGTGGACCAGCTTTTTACCCAGGCAAGAATCACTGGAGGGGGCATGGGGAGTTTGTTTATCCAATCTACATGAGTCCTATGGATCTGGACTTTATGTTCATATCACTTGTAGGGGCCACTCCGGTAATATGGGGTGCCAGGGTCACTAATGCATGATATCCAATCTCTACACAACTGGTGTAAAAGCTGTGTTCGTGTTCTCGGCACTGTCAAGCTTGTTCCCAGCGAGTGCTGGACAGTGCAAGCATGCTCGTAGCCAGCAATGAGATCACCGAGGTCCGGACCTCGGTAACATTTTTCATGTTCAAAAATAAACATGCTCTCTGAATGAATAGTTTGCTGATTAAAACTCCTCATATGAGTGTCTGCATGTAAAATTCAGTTTAGACAGTTTGCAACAATGTTTAGCGTCCGTGGTATGAAAATGATCGCTGCGCGACGCTGGTGGAGTGAACGAGGCTTGAGGGTGCAGCCTCCGCTGTGTTGCCAGATCCTGCTATTATAGGCGTTTTTGGACTTGTAATTTCCACTTAATTCGACAATTTAGATAGTTAATAAAGTGGGAAGTTGCAGTTTAGTCAGTGATATCTTTATCTTATTTGCTAAATATTTTTTTTTAAAAATTGGTTTATTTTTTATTATTTGTTTTTTATAGCAATATCAACACTTGTAGTAATCAAAAGAGCCATGGACAGGATCGGTGACAAGGAACAGCTCTACAGTTTGTGATATTCATGGATGGGATCTCAAGGTGAAGCCAGGGGTGGTATTTGTCCAGTTCAGGTGTCTCAGGGTGGCATTCCTGCTTTTTGTGGATGATGTCGTCCTGATGTCTTCATCAGACTATGACATTCAGCAATTATTGGGCGATTTGTGTCCGAGTGTGAAGCAGCGGGAATGACGGTCAGCACCTTCAAATCTGAGGCCATGGTTCTCAGCCAGCAAAGGGTGGATTGCTTGGATTGGGTAGGGCGTGAGTTGCTTTCCCAAGTAAAGGAGTTCAAGCACCTCAGGATCTTGTTCACAAGTGAGGGTAGATTGGAGCATCAACAGATGGATCAACAGGTGGAATGGTGCGACGGCAGCAATAATGCGTAATGTTGTTGTACCAGACTGGTGAAGAGAGAGATAAGCCTGAAGACGAAGCTCTCGATTTGACCTATGGTCATGAGCTCTAGGTAATGACCAAAAGAATGAGATTCAGGTACAATGGGACCCAGTATAAGCTGGAGGGATTATATCTCTCGGCTGGCCTGTCCCTGTCCTGGATAAGCGGCAGAAAATGGATGGGTGGGTAGATGTTTGGACTCCCATTCATTGGCACCAATTCAGAGGACCCATTGTTAAGCAAGTGATGTGATGCTAAAATTCTCCAAATCTTTTTCCATGAAGAAACAAACTCATCTACATCTGGGATGGTGCGAGGGTGAGTCCATTTTCAGCAAGTTTTCATTTTTGGGTGAACAATTCCTACTTAGTCATTGTCGGGTGTAAAGAAGGCCAAGGATTTCCACAGAATACACTGAAGAATTGGAAAGCCTGTCATTGCACACATGCTTAGTCTTTTGTGTATCTACTACATTGTACTGCCTAATTCTGCAGATTTTCCCCCAACTCACTGCAAATGAATTAAAAGAAAGCACAGTCCATCTGGACCCGCTCATAACAAACTATTTATATTTAATTGGTTTGACTAAAAATAGCTTTTCTTGTTTTCTCTGGGTGGGACATTGATTAAAACAGTGGAAGACAACTCTAGGCTTTATAACCTTTTATAACCTGATTTCCTGTGGTGCTTACCGAAAAAAAAGATTTTTCAAATCCAGTGAGTTCCCAGATTTAAATCCAGACTGATCAACCACAGCAGTGATGTGAATGTCATAGCTTTGTCTATAAAAGAGATTTACAGTTAGACAAAATGTTGTTGCAGCAAGGTTGCACACTACTACCTGTATATAGTCCTGACTAAAGGTTCATTAATGCTTCAAATTACTTTGTAAACAAATACAAAAGATGGATACTTTGAAGAAGCTGCAATATAAGGCATTTGTGATTTATTTAAAATTTCCCTAATTCTGTTCCAGACCAGTCTGTGTTGTTTGGTGACATGCAAAAAATTACTCTTTGGCTGTTTGTGTACAAGAAATTAATGTATATTAAGATACTCAAAATTCTTTTGAAGCTAAATGGAATGCATAAACAATATTTGTTATTGTTTACCATTAACATCTCCAGTAGTTTACCCTGCTACATTTTACTTCCATGTTCCAAACCCAGAAATCGTATGTACCCTTCGTCATATGCATGAACAAAGTTAGTCGTACCTCTTGTTTGCTATTAGGTGAACCCGTCCAGATAACGTCTGCCCCATTTTAGCAAACAGAGGGGTCTGCAGAAGACAGCGTACCTGATACCATTGAGTCAAAGGCTCATTTGGAGCAGTGGACAGCCATACTGTCATCCTGTACAGAAAACACTATTAATACTTTCAAGCATGTTGTCTTCATGCACCTTTGCACCTTTCCTTTCATAATTGTGACTCTCACCTTGAGCCAACAAAGGCCACATCAAACCAAAAAGCAAGTCCATGAATCAGCCCTGACTGCAGCAGTTTGAAGACAAAAGGAATTTCCAACCTGTGAATTACATACATTCACTACAGATATTAAGACACTGTTCAGTAACAGCCATTCCATAAGTTTGTCTAACCTGAAATCAACCACCACTCTCCAGAAATTTTAACATATTTACTAGAAAAGTTGCTAAAAACACATTGTATTTTGGCAGTTTTATATATTGACAAAGGTGCACTTATTTTTGGCACTGCTAAGAATGCCAAATACATTTACAGTGATGTGCACTGACATATATGTTATAAACTGAAAATTAAAATGGTGAATGTCTTAATAGACTTTTCCTAAAAATGTTTATGCTACTGGTGTGCTTGAGCTTGTAATTTCTGCATGCTGCTATATTGTTGAACTGTCATTACCGGTGTAAATCTTCTTCTTTTGCCTCTAGAAAGTTGATTGTATATTTCACAGACCTGGCCATGAGAACCTGCATATCGAACGTGTCCTGAAACACAAAGACATTAAGACCTTCTCTGACAATGTTATGATGCAATCAGAGAACCAGATTCATGGATGCTGTACATGTTGTAGTAGTCAGTGTATGTAGACTCACAACTATTGGCTGTCTGAAGAACTCATCCACAGCAGAAGAATGAAGCCCACTCAAGTTCACACCATAGAAACATCTCTGATTCCTGGTGAAAAATCAAATTCAAACATGTTTCCAACAACTGTTATCTTGAGATCATTTTTAGGGCCATGGTTCACAACATTTTGTACTCCAGTGCCATCTTATTTTGTCCCCCCACCCCCATGTAGGATAATATGTTTCCTGCATTTTACAATTTTAATCTGTGAACACTCCTAGTTTTTGTACATTAATAGTGCTTTCAGACCTGTAGATTGTTTGCTTTGGTCTGAAACAGTGACTTTAATTGTTAAAATATTGCATTCTTCTTGCATTTTTATAGCTGTTGTGTTTTTCAACTGTGATAACTAATGTGCTCATCCACAGAATCTGTCACTGCTGTGTTTTATGTAACACATTTCCCATTATAAATTGATACTGCTTGATTCATCGATCTGTTGGGTCGCATTACTTTCTCTCCACATCTGGGCTAAGACCACCTCCTTCAGGCAATCTCAGACCTCATATTTTGGTGAAGATTTGAGTGCAACTGCCATGAACTTGAGCCTAAACCAGGGGTGTCTAAACTCAGTCCTGATGGGCCAGTGTCCCGAAGAGTTTAGCCCCAACTTGCAAACCTGCTTGGAAGTTTCTAGTATGCCTAGTAAGACCTTGATTAGC